CCCCTTCGAATCTACCCTTTTTTCAATTCCTCTCGATCCGATCGTTTTAAATTGGCGTGAATGGAGATTGGAATTGATTTATTAATCAATTTATCAAATTATGGAATCCACTTTGAGCCTAGTGTTTGATCTTCATAAATTTGAAAGTACACGTACAAAATATTAGCCTTTCCATTTCCGCGATATCGTGTCTTATAAATATTCTGCAATTGCTTCTCTAACAAACACGAAAATCGTAAATTGATTATAATAAATAGTTTTATTAGAAATGAACTAATACAATGTGTTTACGGCGAAAATTTTAATTGTTTAAAAGGTACATAACATATAATAATGTCATCGATTATAAAATTTGTTGGGAATTAATAACATAAAATTAAGCTAGTTTATTTCACACGTTTACGAAAAACATATAGCACAGGCAGGATAAAACTTTGCAATATAACCGAATATATAACTTTAGAAATGCAAAAGAGTTATTCAAGATAATAAGTTATTTATTGATAAGGCTGATGTTTACAAAGGCAGATAACAATATTTGTTATGCGGTGTCCGCAATATCATGTTAATTTACACTTTCCTTTTTTGGCTTTATTGTATTATTAATATTTAGCAATGTTCACACAAATGTCACAGATATAAAATGAATGTAGTGATGAAATGGAATTCCTGGATAAGGAATATGCGTGGCATCATCTATTTCCTCGGGGACGTTCAAGCAGAGGCGAATAAAGCAGGATGATGTACGGACATCTCGGCCATGTGACACCGCCCTTATCAGACTCGCGGACGTGATGGTATTCTGATTGATCGCTCAGCAGGCTAAGATAATCTCAAGGGAGGGTGAGTTAGGAAATACATCCATCGGGGGAAGAAATCCCAGGAACGACCTGGTTGTGCCATTGGCGTTATATAACGATTTGATTTATTTTTTTGTTTTCCGATAATATCAACTCTTTAAATTAACAATTCCCCCGTGAAAACCAGTCATACTTATATAATAAAGTACAACTCACGTGGACGGTAATATCCCAATTTCACGGGTGAAGCTGAAATAGCCCATAAATTTAAAATGTCTTAGTTGATGAAACATTTAATTGTCAGGACAATTTAGTATTCAAACTGGGAACAAGCATATGTGAAACTATGCGAACTGTAAAAATGAGGCCATGTCAACATATTTCAATAACATTTCAAGCACGATTTTATGTATTTAGTAAATTAAAAAAGTCCTTAATATCATTGATAGACGATTCAAATAGATGGGTCAAAATTTAAAATTAGTTTTGCTATTTGCATATCCAATTGGAACGGTTCAGCTTGTAATACAAAAAATGACACCACACACAAGGTTCAGTCAGATCTTTTTTTTTCCTTTTTAAACCTTATGTTATCTTTAATAATAAGCGATATTTTCATTTTATGTATTTGAAAGTACGCTCAGCTATTTTTTTAATTGTGCATTTCTACACGTCACCAATAGTCGTCATCAGCTAATTTATATCTTGTCGTCTGTCTTTGGCTGAGGTTATAAAGTTACGTGTTAACTATCGGTCTTTTGAGTATTTTAACGAAAATCTATTCACACACCTTTTTTCCAATTTTAAATAAATGTTCAATTTAAAGTATCAACCGAAAACACTGTTGTGGATGGTTATCAAATTACACCAAGTTCGACATTTCATTCTTTTACATAATGCTGAATTATATGATAATTTTAAAAGAGAAGGTCTGCCAAATTTATGAAAGCCCCCATTACTTATATACCTTATACCAGTGTTCTTCCCTCCCGAGGAATCAAAGATTACATCAAAAATGTTTAAACGTATATTAACTTCCTACAAATGTTTTTTTAAGTAGATTTTCTTCAGGATTTTTTGAGTAAATTACAACAATTCCAGATATTATTGCAAAGAAAGTTATGCTTTTCTGAAAGTAAAAATTTCTTAGACCTAATAATCACTAAAACAATTAACAAACTAAAATCGATATATACACAAAACCAACAGCGACCGAGTCGACCAAAATCACCCCCTCGGACATGACTACAAAACAAATATACTAAAAACAGAGCCACTAACCAAATAGAAATACAAAAACGAACTAAAAAGTAATAAAAACCATTGGACGCTAAAGCACAACCGCTTTCAATAAAATATTAATGACGACGCATTAATAAAAACAAAACGACGCCACAAAAACAGACCAAATTGGACCAAATTCACATATATTGGGAAAGATTTGCAAAGAATGCTAAACATGTGAGACACTGAAACGCGTCTGACAAGGAATGAAGTAGAGGTAGACGAAAATGATGGAAAACGACCAAACTACAAGTAATAGTTGCTACTAGGCATTTTCAGGTCCACCATGAACTGCACTCCGAAAAATATATAAACAAAATAGAACCATAAGATCTGTCATAAACTACAAACCAACCCCCAAAATAAACATGAAACTAAAGGATTCACACTGTTTAAAAAACAATGCAGACCGAATTAAGTACGTACAAGACACCTATCGCCAAACTAGTATTTAATATAAAAAAATCTATATACATCAATTCCTGCAAAGGAAAGGGTGGACATAATATGTGATGTAGGTTTCAGAACTCCCAACACGACCCGCAAGAATGGCACAATTACGCAGAAAACAAACACTTTGAGCCCTGAAGATGATCTCAATAAAGATTGAAATGTTGGCAAGATAAAGAAAATACTTTTCTGAAACCTACATCACACCATACCGCATCTCACGATTTCTGAATAATCGGTGGACATAGTATATACACCACACAAAAAATGTAATAACGTAATATGAACGAATTAACGGACAAATTTCAAAATTAATAATATATCTTAAACTGCATAATGTTGTGTGTAATTAATAAGAAAACATTTCTTGTTTAATTACATTTCAAATTAATAATTATAAAACAGTTTCGTCATATACGAATACAAGTGACGATAAGCTGAATCACTGAAACGTTCATTTATTTTTATAAACCTTACGAATGGAGTTCGGAATTGAAGGACAGGAAGTTTTAACGAAATATTTGCCATTTTAAAGTTAAAAACAGGGGTGGCCGCATCAGTTTGAAACTGACAAAGTGAATCACCCAAAGTGAAAGGGTCCCTGCAACCCAGAATTAGAAAACAAAATACTATATAATGATCTGATCCCCGTAAGTTAAAACCTTTGCTTTTTTTGGGTGCAAGTGAACGTGTAAAGCAGCTGAAGCAAGTGTTAAACGATCAAGCTACTGAAAAAGTTTCATCTTTTTATCATAAATCTTTTTTCATAAAGTATCAGTGATATTTTACAATGTTATTTCAGAAAATGAAACTTTTTATCGTGACTAGTAAGTTTGGTATAAGGTTTCTCGGTGTATAATCATATTTTTAACTTCTGCATAATGCATAATTTCGTTTTTCATGAAGTTGTTACCGAATTTCTTCAAATTCACCTGTTAGGTAGGATTTTATTGTTATCACCGACTTATGTAAATTTATAGAATGTTGCGATTTTTACGTCATTTATTAGTAATCAGGACACGCTTGTTCGCCCATTTGCAGTGTCTTTTGCCTCTGTTTATTTTCCAGTCACAAACGTCGTAACATTACACAAAAAACAAAAAACTGTTCTTAATCCTGTGATACGCGTCCTTTTAACGAGCCTACACAAAGAAGTTTCTCGAGAGAACGGAGTCATTTCGGAGACGTGGACTTTTAGAAATGGCCTGATTTCACCAGGAACCCTCAAGGGCCGTTACTGCGGTTGAACACACTTCCCTAGCGTTTTATGACACCATCATTGAAATAAAGCTCGGTTTATAATGTCAAATAAAACAATTTTCTTGTAAATAGATCTCGGCTGAATGGTAATATTCATTGGAATGTTTGTTACAAAGTTTATTGTAATAATGTATGTCTTCGTATTTTGAACAATGAAGAATATAAATTTTAAATTTTCTCGATTTGTAGGACAGAAAAACACTGACTTTAAGCCATTTTTAAACATTACCAATGAAAAAGAGGTTTAGGAATGTTTTTAACCCTTATCCCCCCCAAAAAAAAAATTAAATTTAAAAAAATGTAGCAATGTTCAAATAGAAAAGTCGGTGACCGACCGGTTCTACTCTCGCGGTTCTGGGTTCGAATCCCGGCACATCTCATGGAATTTTAGTTGAAATAACATGTAAAAGGTATTGTAAAACTGTTTGACCCCTTGTCCGCGACACCCAACACGTTTTGAAGAAAACCTATATACAGGAATGACTTAGCTTTACTTAAGTTACAACAAAATTCGGCTAGACTCTTCAATTGTTGCAGCTATAAACAATTATTTGTTTATTTAGAAAATATCATTTAATGTTTTAGAAACAGCAGAAAAACTAAACAGTAAATATACCAGGTGGTGAATTAAGAAAACAGGTTGCTATATTTTTTAAATACAAATAAAAAGTATAAAGTAATTTTCCAATTTTTACAGTACTTTTTACTCAATAATTGTTTTTATATAGTAAATATACGATTGAAAAACTATTGAAATAATATACAAACTACATAAAATATTTCAAATTTTTAAATAAATTTTTTTGTGAGTAGATTAATCACAGTTTATAAAACTGTAATGGCCAGACAATTGTCACGTAAGGAAAAGGGATAAAAGGAGAATAAACAGTCGAGCCCGCAAGGTTTCGCAGTAATTGCTATTTAAGGTGTAATTCCCGCACTCCTTTATTTACATTTACCCAGGTGGGGAAGTGTAGAGAAAATTATTTTAAATAATATAGTAGAGAGGGGTGAAAGTAAGGGGTGGAAGTGTGAGCAAGGTGTACTACTAACAAAAATTGGCCCTTCCAAACCCGCTTAATGGCTACCTTATTTCAATTAATTTTCCAGCAAAGGCACCGGTTTATTTTAACACTCGCCTACCGAGGAAGAAACTTGTCCACGGTCCAAATCAGCTTACTTCATATTTACAGATTTTTATTTTACCTTTTACAAACTACACCACAATTTGTTTCTACGTTCATTTGGTTCCAAGATCCCTGGGGTAGTCTCAAGTCTATTTTGTACTGAAAAAATAAAAGAAAAACGTTTTAAAAAAAAGTAACCAACGGTAACATATTTATTGCAATTTCCAATAAATCTATGCAAAACCCGGAAGTAATTGACTCTAAAACTACTTGCACTGTAACGGTTCAATTTTAAGTGGAAACATCTGACATCAGCAAGAAAAAAAATTGTCGGCAGATTCAGTTCAAAAATGAATACTTTTTGTTGACCCTAAAAATAAAAATTATGCGATGTAAAGTGTACTTAAAACAAATCCACAATGTCTTTTTTAAATAAAAATATTTCTTTCTTTCTTCGTTTAATGGAAATGTCCCATGAACAGACATTAATACTTCAGGAGGTTATCCTACATGTCAAATTGAACTTAAATTCTTTATTGTCAAAAGTCTGTCTCTCAATGTTAGTGTATCCGAGATATTTCACTCTTCAGGTTACTTCAACTTTTCTCAGCTTTATTCCATAAAATCCCGTGAATATCATAAAAAGTTAATTTTGTAAATTAGATTACACCAATGGAAAGAGATTTGAAACCTGGAAGATATTCATTTTTTGTATTATAACCCGAAGAAAACCCAAAATCACTTCGAAGAGTAAATTTTACAAATTTCTGCAGTTTCTGTCTAAAATTTAATTATGATTTTCTTACTTCTGTAAATATTGACTGATATGGCCCTCATAGATATGTTGCCCTACTAATCAGTATTGTAAATGCACCTAATTTAATCAACAATGTAAAATTAACGGTTAGTTTATGAAATATGATAAATGAAACATCAAGCTCGTCCTTAGTTGTGACAGGATCAGAATGGACATCATTTTTAGTTGATTCAGTTGATCAGGAAGGTTAAAGAAAATCAATTTTCAAAAATTAACCGTAAATTACATTATGATATACAGGGTGAATTGCTACTCGTGCTACAAACTTCTCCAGTAGATTCTTCACCCTAAAATGAACAAAAAAGTTCATATTGTCCATGGTCCGATTCTCAACCATTTCAGAGTAATTTCGCTTTTTATCGATTTTGAAAGATATCACGTCCTGGCGTCGGAAAATCGTGATATCTTTTAATCTAAACATTTCTCTGAAAAT